TGGGTTCTCAGGCTTTGTTTCAAAGAGCTGGTGCCAAAATGATTTGGCTGAAGTGATGGGCACAGGGCTGCCCAACTGGATTGTTATCTCATGATCACAAAGCACAGTCTTTAGTACTTTACATCCTGTATATCTACAGTCAAATTAGCACCAATTTTATTCTTCCAGACTTAAGCTACTTTCTCCACCATTATCACCACCAATACCTCTTGCCAGCAAATGTCCTCTTTGGTTGCAAAGTAAGAAATCAAACAATAGGCCTAGAATTTTAGGAAAACAATTGCCTACTGACCATTAAAATTGGGTGTGGCGTTTTGCAATGTCCGACACTTGGTTTGCAATGGTCGTGAGATTAGGCCAAGAGTTCACTCACTTTGATTCTTAAATTCTAGACATAAGAGGGATCTTAGAAATCATGAGAGTTTCACTTAATCACTGATACTTGACTGTATCCATGTTTTATGTAAAGTATATACATATGCAATAAATAATATAAAACACTAATTTATGTATTTATGTAAATTATTTTTAAAAAGACTTTCCCCATCCTTGTCTCTCCATTCTACAGGTGTGGGAGGGGGGAAGGGAATGGAAAAGCCAAAAGACACAGATAAAATTCCCAGAATAGGAATATGAAAGTTGGTTATTTACCCAATAAAGCCCCATCCACGTTAACCTTTCCCCTGTTTCAATACTATGATGATGTAGCATTGAAAACGCAACCATGGCTCCAAGGCCAAAGAAATAAGAAGATCCAAGACACATTTTAAAGAGGACTCCCACTGGGTGTTATCTTTAACTCCATAGAAACAACACTGTAATGGATTATAATATAATCCTAAACTGACAACATTTATAATTATTTGGCTCAATTTATTAAAACGAAAAGGTCTGAATTAATAGAAGTTAAATGGCAAAAGACAATCCTCAGGTTGAAATTCTTGAGGCAGAAATAGTTTAATGATATTAGTGGAGTCTTTTTATGTGTTTAACAGAGTCTAGCACTAAGGGCCAATCAAATGGAACCAATTTACACATGGTACGAAAAACAAAGGCTTACTTAACAACTTTCCTCCCAAGTTATTTAGCAACCTTCTCTTTTCTCATGCTGTTACCTGAATGTTTATGATGCATGGACATGTAACAACTCCACGAATGATGCCAAAAAATCTCAACTATGTGTAAAGGAATGACTGGGTTTTGCTCTTCCAGAGAGCTCTCTGTGCTTTTTACATAATAGGTAGACAAAACATGTTTTATTTTGGCTGTGAGAAGAGTCCTAAGCTGGGGATTCATCACAAAGTTCTCAAAGCAGAAAAACTACAGAGAAGAAGGTGACATCCACAAAAGAAAAAAAAAATCTACTCAACAGGAAAATAAGTGGGTCAGATAAATAAATGCTTCTTGTACTTAAATATAAATAATATTTAACAAAGTTTCACAAGTCCAAGCAGGTTTACCAGTTACCCTCAAATTTTTAAACAAAAAGAACAGCAACATTTTCAGCTCTGAAACTAGGAAACAATCATTACTGAGCTTCTACAAAGAATGAGCCAGGTACTGTGCTAGGCATCTTGCATATATCATCCCAACTTAATCTGGTAGACTTTACTGTTCCCATTTTGCAGATAGGAAAACCTAGGCTCATGCTGGTTAAGTAACAAAGTCACAATGTGGGCATATGCAGATATTGGGATTCCATCTGTCTGACTTTGGCTGCTACCCTCTGCCCTATAGCATCATTGTGAAATTTCAACCAGAAATTACAGAAATGGAATTGTTTCATAAGGACAGCAGATCAGCTCTGGAGTCAGAAGCTCTAGATTTTAATTAAGCTTCTACTGCATGGAGGTTTCCTCCAAATTTAATAGAGATGAAAATAGTGTTTAACCTCATCAGGGTTGAGGTGAAAAGCGTATAAAAGCCGCAGTGAAAGGGCTTTGCAGAACAGGTTCCCACTAGCTGTTACTGTTACCAGCTATTCAAGCTCCAGCTAATGCAGCTCAGAGGCTGCAACAGGGCTGTGGGCCTGTCAGTCCACACACAGCACAGCACGTTCCTTTGGAGAGGCCGAGCAACACAGAGCCTGGTGCCCAAGGGAACAAAACTTGGAGGTGAGGAGTGGAGGGGGCTTGGCCACAGTCTCTGCTCAGTCTGCCTTCTCATGCACTAAACAAATAATTATCGTGGGCCAGCTCTGTGCCAGGCACAGCCATGGTTTGCTAAGCAAGCTGCTGGTCCCAATTACTCAGCCACTTGGGAATCTATGGAAGCCCCGGGCCTTCAGGTAGCTTACAACCACCCTGGGGGAAAGTCAAACACGCCATGGCCTAAAAAAGCCTCATCCTTTCTAATCGATTTTCCCTATTGTCACACACACACATGCACACACATGCACACACGTACACACATGCACACACACACATGCACAGAGGTTTTCCTGTGGTATGTAGAGGGTTCCCATACTAGACCAAGCACTTGAGGCCTATTTATCCTCATTAGGAAGCTCTCTCATGGTCTCCTTTGGGATAGAATTTTAAACACTAATGACTCAACATAGTGACTTCCAGAACAGAAAGGGTTCATTTCAGTACAGACAAAGGAAGATCGAAGACCCCAGGTGGAAAAGAAAGTTGACAGATTTGACTGCATAAAAATTTTAAGCTTCTACACAACTAAAGACGGTTAAAAAACAAACCAAAAAAAAACACCCAGGTGAAAATACTTTCAATTACTATGAGAGAGAGTCAATAGGGTTAATAAGTGAAATACATAAACTAGAGTTTATGACAAATGAGAAAAGACTAATTCCCAATGGATAAAATCAACAAAGGACATGAACACTTTGTTAAACAGGAATACAGCCAAGTCACATCAGCGTATTTGATCTTATTAACATTAAATAAGAAAAACATGCCTTTTCTCCTAGAAAATTGCCAAATATTATTAAAATTAGAAAATCACTCCGCTAATGGAAGTAAAAATTAGCAGAAATTGTTTGGCAACTGATAGCAATGTCAAGCAAGATGTCCACACGAGTCCACACCCTTTGGTTCTTCTGTCGTAAAAATAGGAGAAGCATCTACTATAAAAAACAAGTGTGATCTAAAATACAGAAAATGCTGACTGCATAGATGCTCATCATATATTGAAAACAGGCTGTATGCTCTGCAATGGGATTAAACAAATCATGAAAGATCCATAGATGGAACACTTTACAGTCCTTCAAAATAATATTTACAGATATTTTAGTGTGGGGAAAAGCAAATAATATTAAGTAAAAAGAAAAAAAACTGGGACATAAAATCATATACACAGAACATTTCAAATATGGAAAAAAATAGAAGGAAACACACCACCAGTGGTTGTACCTTTGTATGGTAGGACTACTGATGACATGTTTTGTACCTGTGTCTTCTCGTTTTTTCTGTACTACTTAAATCTCCTATAAGGTTTATATTATTTGCACATATTGCATATATTACTATGTTACTATATGCAAGTATGACATTACTTTCATAATTATAAACGAATTGAAATTGAAATAACAATCTCAACTGCAAATAATGAACATAATAGTTGGATTTCCATAATAAACAATAGCTGGAAACCCAACAGATCTCCAAGCCATTCCCCATTCCCACAAATCCTGAATCACTGTGCAGCAGCCAGGTAAGGCAGTAAACAACGGGAAAAGCACCTTTGTTTTAAATGTGGAGCTAGAAAAACACTAAGCTTCTTGATGTGAAAACAAAAACTTTTCTCCTCCCACTTTGTCAAAACATATTTGGGAAATTCACTAACCAAAACATTTTCCATCAGAGGATTTCAACCCACACACCAAAATTATCTCCTCAGAACAAGCTAGTTCAGCAAGCAGGATGTTTACCAGGAACACCCTAAAAATCAACAGTTGTTTTTACAGCTCTGATAAATCCACAGCAGCTCATGTGAGTACGCAGTGTAACACACACAATCTCCAGTGTGTCTGTCACCACTTCTGAACAGGAGAGCACAACCTCCTCCCTGACGTAAGGCTTTTCCTTGGCAAGAATCAGAGATGCTGCTGAAATTAAACCTTTTGGGGTTCACCCTGTCAAAAGCTGATTTTGCAATCTTTGAGATGGTTTTCATAGAGTCAATTAATTAAGGCCAAACTCTACATTCATTATCTTATTTCATCTTCACAGAACTACACGGCAGGGTTTCTCAACTTTAGCACCGCTGACCCTTGGGGCTGGGTAATTCTTCATTGTCGGGGCCATCCCCGCACTGCAGGGGGCTTAGCGGCATCCCTCGCCTCTCCTCACCATGTGTCGGCCAATTCCCCCTCCACCCCCGTTGTGTTTCCAGACATTGCCAAATGACTCCTTCAGGGCAAAATTACCCCAGTTGAAAACATCTACTGTAAAGTACATACTATTACTGTCCCATTTTACAAATGAAGAAACTGAGACACAGCTACAGGCCGGCCCACCTACCTGCAAAGCCCAAGATCCAATGCTCCACACTTGATTTGTGCCTAGGCAGAAGGCACATCACAGTGTGACTGGTACACACCCATCATCCCTACTTGAATCCCCTCTGCATCCCCACAAAACCCCACCTGGGCCTCAGCGATGGGCGGACTGAACCACACTGCCCTCGTTACCCACACACTTACTGAGTCCCTTCTGGGCCACAGGGCCCGACAAGACAGGCACACGCATGGCCTCAACAAGCAGACAGTCTTCCTGAGGAAGTAAGACATCACCAGAGGGGAGCCGTTTGGGGCAAACTGTTCCCTCGTCTGTACAAGGGAGAGAATGCTAGGGCTGCCCTCATAACTAACTGAGACAGCGCCTGTCAAGTTCCTTCACAAAGCACAACTTCAAACAACAGCTGATAGGCACAAGCTCTGGAAGAAGCAAAGCATCTCATAATCACTTGGGCTGGAAGGAATCTTTGAACTCACCACCCACTTGGTCCCTGAGCATTTAAAAACCCCAAAATTTAATTACCTGCTTCCAGGAGAGTCCAAGGGCTGAGCTGTGACTGAGGCTCTCAGCAAAGGTTTCCTCGACTGCTGGAAACGGGCCTGTAGGAAAGAGGAGGGGCTTAAGCAAAGGGCAGAGCAATAGGAAAAGTAGAAAGGTTGAGTGGCTGCAAAGCATTCCAGGGGTGCTGAGCCTGGACCTGCACCTGGAGAACAGGGGAAGACAACTTGGAGAAAGAGGTTAAGATCAGATGAGGTCACAAGGTGACCTCAAGGGGACCCGTGGTGACACTGGCCAGGGGAGATCCAAGAAATATTCCTCATAAAAAAGCAACCAAGGTCTGCTTCAAAACATACATGCAACTTACACTCTGAAGGTGGAGAACTTAGTATCTCAGCCTGAAAGATAGGCATTGGGATGGCTTCGCAGCATCCCCTGAGAACAACAGGCAGACACGGGCTTTAACTTTACATAAGCAATGACTTTACCACAACCAAGAGTTAATCTGTCCTGAAAGTAAACCCAGACATCTTCCTCCCCAAGTCTACAGGGCCTCCTGTTTCCTAAGACACTCACCCAGCACAAGGGAAGAAGAGCCCAGAATAGCCACATCTTCTCTTTTTAAGATCTGCATTTCAATGGATGAACTCTCCAAACTTTAAGTATTGGCTTAAATTTCTTAAAATGCTGTGTAGGTCAAACCATGGAGCCTGCCTCCATGGTCTCCATCCCAGGACCACCAGTAAGAGAACTCTGCTGAAAGTCACAGTCCACAGGAGGTCAAAGAAAGCTCTGGAGCAGGCAGGGTGGCCTCCTGCCAAAGGTTTCTTTGGAAGATTTGTCTGGTGATGAGCTGCAGGATTCAGCAAAGAAACTAACTGCAGAGGTCCAGGTAGAAGACAATTGCAGGGTCTGTATCAGAAATGACAGGGATGTGAACCAAGGCAGTGACAGAGGGAACAGAGAGGGATTCAAAGACGAAAACGGCAGGAAATGATGGTCAGGAGAGGGGCCCTAGGATACAGACAAAAACCTGACCCATTGCAAACTCTGATAATGTAGATGAGCCTTGAAGGTCAAAGGGAAACTGAGGCTTAAAAGTGAGCTCTTACACTTCCGAGAACAGGGCCATCTTCACGGGCTTGTGCCCTGTGTAGTCACACAGAATCCTCAGAAAAGTGCTATGCTTGGTTTAATACTATATTGTCATCATCTTGAGACTCTTAATAATTTCAACTCTGAACTTGTTTTTGTAAATGAAGTCCAGTGGAACAATGGAGGGTTCATATGAGCAGAGGAGATCCCATTTAATATGTGTGGGCACTATTCCTTGCCTCCTCATTCACACATAGTGTTTGCAATGCCACGTGAGCACTGAACTTCTGTGGATTCATGAACATGTGAGTTCAGCGACCAGTTCAAGGTAAGGTGTTACAAACACAGCTGAGGAAGTAGGTGGGTGGGCGCTGACAGCTCCAAGAAGCCACGCTTCCTATTTGAATCAGAACTTAGTTTGCATGTAGAAACAGGGCAATGTCTTTCTAAGAAACACAAACACCAAGGAATCCTACCATATCCTCTCTTGCTCCTATGACTTCCCTGTATTAGCCAACCACTTACACTGAAAAATGGTGGCATAGAAAGAAAAGAAAACACAGGGCAATGCATGGTTTTCCTTTCAGTGGTTACTTAAGCCAGTTCTTCCTTCTAAGCCAAAGACTAGTATGTGTATCAGGAAGTGAAATCAAAGTAGTGATTAGTTTTATGCAGTGTTTCCCCGCCCCCTATTCTAATAGGAACAATACACATACGCATGTACACATGACAAAATATGAAGTGTGTGATTTCAGTAATTCTGCATACCTAGCAAATGCACTTGTATTTGCATTTAACACTAACACTGCACCTTTTAACATACAAAGATGAATAAAATCCATGCTAATAACATTAACTTTTAATTTTTTTTTCACATAGACATTACAGAGCACATTAACACAATGACAAGTCAAGAGAGGGTATGTAGAAGAAAAGGAACAGCTTTTTATATTACAACCTTTAATGGCACTTTTTCCAACTTTTTGAATGAGGGAGCCCCACACATTTTCACTGTACAAGGGCTCCACAAATTGTGTGGCCAGCCCTACTGAGAACCTCTGAACTCAAAAATATCATGCCTATCTAAATATGCTACACACACTTGGCTAAATTTTTCCTGACGTCTTTTTTTTTTTTAAAGCAAGGTGGCTTTATTTAAGGCAAAGTACACACTCTAAGAAAAAAGGGAGTGTGAGCAGCCTCAGAGAGGAGGTGAGCTTAAAGGCTTAGGATTCTTGTCTCTTCAGGATTTCAAGAACGGGGCAAAGGGCCAGGGGGATGTAGGCTTGACATGTGGTCTCATGATGTCTAGCCCCGGTGAGGGATATTAATTCACCTATAGTCAGTCCTCTAGATAGTCTGTAAGATAAACTTAACACAAGGAATTTCTTGGTCCTGTTCTTCTCCAAGATAGTGGTTACCCTTAAGAAATGAGAACATATCATTTAGGACCGCTTGCCCTGCCTTAAGATAGATTGTTGGCTAATTACCATAAAGTATGTTAGGAATCTTACCTCCTAACAACCTGGTTTTTAGAATTGAATCTTAGCCTTAGATGGAGTCCCTCCTATTCTTACTATACTGTTTATATCTCAGCATTTTTCATCGTGGCAGGAAAAGTTAACCACGATGGCTGTCCGTGTCCCTGCCCCACCTCATTCCCCCTCAAGGAACGCAGACCCTTGAAGCCTTTCGGGGAAAGTGGGTGTCGGTCAGCCTTTCGCGCTGCCTCCTGCGGAGGGAAGTGCTGGCCCTGTGGGTCCAGCAGTTCCAGTTCCCGTGCTGCCCGTCAGGGAGAGAGGGGTCATGGAGCTCTCTCAGCTTCCTGATGTCTTTTAAAGCAGCCCCCAAATGACCCCCCAAAGGAATGATGGGAGTGTGAAGCCGACTTTTAGGACCATGCCCTTAATTACTGAATTGCTTCAACCCTGTCCTCCCATTCCTTCCCCTCATGTCATTACAACAATAAATGTGCTGAGGCACCATAACCCAGTGTCTTTCCAACTAAAGATCTTTCTAGAAATAATTAAACTGAAGGCTAAAGAAGACCTTACCAGAGCAGCATTTGATGCAGGGGCCTGTCTGCTGGAAATCCTCCCATAGAGTACTTCCTGGTGCTCTGGTGGTTCAGTTGTAACCAAACCCAGGCTGTTTCTCACCACTTGAGTGCCCAGGTTTCCACTGGGAAGTTGTTCTGCGAACCATTAAGCCTGATTGTCTAAAAATTCCTCCTTCAAAGACAGTCAAGTTTTCCTTCGTCTCCTTTCATTCTCCTCCTCCTTTTTGTACCACCACTTTCCACTCCAGCAAATTAATTTCCTGCTCGGAGACACATCCGGGCACATGTGCCAGTTTGTATTGTTTAGATGGGAGACTTCTGTCATTTTTACAAATTTTTCCTCTGTACCCATAATCCCGAGAGCCAGCCTCTCAGGAGCCTGGGTGATTTGTCTATGAATATTCTTTCATGCCTCCTATTAAACTGAAAGAATGGAGAGTGCAGACTGCCTGCAGTGCACTTACCCAACTCTTACCCTTTCCTATCACATTTTTCTGTTTCTCCTATCCTTTCCTCCACCCCATCTGAAAAGGGTGCCTATGGGTTTCAAGGCTGACCTGCCACTCTCCACCTGACTGCATCCACCCGCATCCTCCCCCCTGGACTTTGCACTCCCTCCCTCCTCTCGTTTGCTTCTTTCCCATCGCCCTCTGCTGCACCTTCCCCAGAGCCAGGCTGTCAGAGCAGGCTTCTGCTTGTTCAAGTCCTTGAAAGGCTGGGCCTGCAGGGCTACCTGGTGCTGCTCATCACCTCCCATGTAGTCCTGTCTTTTGCGCTCTGATTCTGTCTCTGCTGGGCAGCTAAAACCACTGTAAGTCCACAGCTGGCCAGGTGCTGGGCCAGGGCCGTCTCTCAGACCCAACCTCGTGAGAAGTGTACTGCCCTGGATGGCACGGCCCCCTTGCGTTGGGCGTACCTCCTTCCTTTGCCACCACGATCCTCCCCTCCTTGGGCGGTTCCCGCTCTACCACTTCCCGTAACTTTTCACTAGCCTGACCGTGTCCAAATGTCAGGAGTTCCCTGAAGGCTGTGTGCTTGCTTCTCTTCTTATTCTACATCTTCTTCTTTAGTGAGTTCATCCATTCTCACTCTTCATGTACCCGTCCTATAGAGATGAGATTTTTGCCTGAACTCCAAACCTAAATTTCAAATTCTTACTTAATAGCTTCTTGTGGATAAAATCAACTAACAGTTCTTAACGGCTGTTCGCATGTCAAGTACAGATCTACGCCAGAGGCGATAACATGAAGCGGTTGAGTAAACAAACCTAGAGGCTGTACCCACCTGCATTTAAATCCTGAGTCCAACAGACACAATCTGTGTGACCTGGGGAAGAAATTCATTGAACCTCGCAGTGCAGCTGACTCCTCAACTGCAATAAGGAATAATAACTACACTTTCTTAGGGCTGATGTAGACAGTCAATACAAAGTAAAATATGTAAGATGCTTGGAATATACCAAGTGCTCTGTAAGCATTAGGAACCATTGCTGTTTTCCTCTTAAAAATCTCGTGAGACAGGTAATATTATTTTACCCACTTACACAATGAAGGATGAAGGTACGTTATTGTGGGTCACGATGGAAGCGCAAACTCTGGACGTTCAAATATTAATTCATCCTATTTCCCATTAAAATTCAACTGCTTGTGGGCCTTTCTTGAATAAGGTGTTCCGTCCCTCTTCCCTCTTCTCACCTCTTATACTTCGTAACATCGAACATACTGGTTCCAAAGTCATCGTTGTAAAATATTTCTCATACCCCTCCCTGCCTTAAGGAAACAAAGCAAAACAAAATGCACTTTGAAACATAATCCGGTCACTCTTTAAGAGCTCGAAGATCTGTTTCCATATCTTACCTATCTTAACAATATTGATATACCTTATCTTCCTGTAAAACGAATCTCACTATATTCTGTTTTGCCCCAACGCTCACCTCCCACCACGGCC